GTTTTTGGCGCTCCAACCGAGACTTTGGCTCTTAAGCTTTACGATGAAATCACGCAACTTTGCTCATCAGGTGGTTTCGAACTTCATAAATGGTCAAGTTCAAGTAGCTCCGTCCTCGCCACATTCCCGCCGACCGTCGAGAAACACCCCATCCGTTAGGATCTACACACTCGATTAAAGTACTAGGACTTGAATGGGACCCGACTACTGACTGTTTCCGCTACTCTATTTCACCTGTCAATAGTACGCCAACCAAACGCAATGTATTGTCTCAAGTTGCTCGAGTTTACGATGTAAACGGCTTTATTAGTCCAATTATTTTCACCTTAAAACATCTACTTCAACAGATTTGGATTGAAAAACTCAACTGGGACGACCCTCTCCCTCAATCTTTTCAAAATGTTTGGGATAAATTCATCAAAGAACTACCCTTTATGACACAGTTCAAAATACCTCGCTACATTCTCAGTAACTACTTAACCGCTCAGCTGATTGGTTTCTCTGATGCTTCCAAAATAGGCATGTGCGCCTCCTTGTATCTGCGTATTGAATGTGAAGATAAGAGTGTAGAATGCAACCTCCTGCAATCCAAAACTAAAGTCGCTCCTCTGAAAACACTTACGATCCCTCGTTTAGAATTGTGTGCCGCTCTTCTCCTCTCTGAGTTAGTAAAAGCGAACCAACCACTTATTAACAAACTTCAAATATCAAACATCTTTCTATTCACAGACTCCATGAATGTTCTTGGTTGGTTAAATACACCACCACACCTCCTAGAAACCTTTGTCTCAAACCGTGTCTGTAAAATAACAGAAATCACCCCTGTTGATGTTTGGCGTCATATATCAGGAGATGAAAACCCTTCTGACTGTGGCACTAGAGGTTTAATGCCGAATAGTCTGTTGAGTCATCCTCTTTGGTGGCATGGACCCTCTTTTATCCACAATGATATCTCATCTTGGACTCTACCGCCTTCAAACTTTCCTTTGGATGTTATTGAGCCTCAACAAACTCCCACGAAGAACACCTTAACAACTAACACTGTTCCGCAAAATGATCTTTATCAATGGATGAATAGGTTTTCATCACTCATTAAACTTCAAAACACCATGGGCTATGTACTGAGATTTATCCATAACTCATGATCTAATCAATGTGATAAACGCTATGGCTCGTTATCAGTTTCGGAACGAGATGCCGCTCTGGAATGTTGTATAAAATTAGTACAAACCCAGCACTATTCTGAAGAAATAAAAGCTCTAAAACTATCCAAGCCTTGTTCTTCATCACTAAGAAAACTTTCTCCATTTCTATCCTCGGACACCCTCATGGTGGGGGGTAGATTGAAATTAGCTCCTTTGCCTGAATCATCAAAACACCCTGTATTGATACCCTCTCAGTGTCATTTGGCAAACCTTTTATGTGATTACTATCACTTGTATTCTCTACATGGTGGTCCAAAACTAGTACAAGCATTAATTCAAAGACGCTTCTGGATTATTGGTGCAAGAAATCTGATAAGAAAACGATTATTTCGATGTATCACTTGCTACAAAATGAAAGCTAAACCCACGCAACCTCTTATGGCGGATCTTCCACCCTCACGATTTCAACAGACCCGATGCTTTATTAATGTCGGGTTAGATTTTGCTGGCCCTTTTCTCGTTAAAGAAAGCACGAGACGAAATGCAAAACTATCAAAGTGCTACATTGCCGTATTTGTGTGTATGGCAGTCAAAGCTGTCCATCTTGAGTTAGTGCATTCACTCTCTACTGAATCTTGTTTAGCCGCTATAGACAGATTTATCGCTCGGAGAGGAATCTGCCGAAACATTTACTCTGATCAAGGTCGCAACTTCGTCGGTGCTGCACGCCAACTACAAGAAATCTACTCTCTCCTGAAGAACTCAACCTCACAGATCTCAGAACATTTGGCTCAACGAGAAATAACTTGGAACTTTAACCCGCCATATGCCCCAAACTTCGGAGGCCTCTGGGAGGCTGCAGTGAAGTCGACCAAACACCATCTTAAAAGGCAAAACCATAATTTCACGGCTGAAGAATTCACCACATTCCTGTGCCGTGTTGAAGCTGTACTGAACTCCAGGCCGCTTTGCGCACTCTCATCGTCACCTGATGACGACTTTAACTACTTGTCTCCTGGCCACTTCCTCACAGGAGACCTCCTGCTAGCACGACCGGAAGAAGACATCTCGGGAGAACCCTTAAACCTACTCTCACGCTGGCAGCTAGTTTCTCGTGCCTCTCAACACTTCTGGAAGAGCTGGAGAAGAGATTATCTCCATACTCTTATCCAACGCCCCAAATGGACTGAGAAAACCATCAACCTTAAGGAAGGAGACTTAGTTTTAATGTACTCTAATAATACTGACCCTTTGACTTGGCCCCTAGGTAGGATAATTCAGGTTATGCCAGGATCTGACCAAGTTGTAAGAGTTGTTAAAGTCAAAACCCCTGTAGGTATTGTAACACGCCCTGTAAATAAGTTAATTCCTCTCCCTATGGTTTAGATAGTGTTACCTTTGTCTCTTTGTACATAACATTTTGTATTATCTTTATAGTCAGGTAACAGGTTTGTTTCATGATGACGGTTATTATCCAAGGTTTTTGTTTTAAAGATTTACAGTTTCTTTAATGTTCTTTAATATTTTCTCAAAAATTGCTTTTTTGGGTGGGGGGAATGTTCGGTACTTATTTAAAGTCCCTAGATTGGTGCTACCCTTGCCCAATTGGTCCTTGCCCAACGTTATCTACGGCGAACCGTCCCCACTCCGACTACTGGAAACGCTCCTCACTAGCATTGCCGACGGCGTCATGGGCAGACGTCCGCTACATTTTCCTACATAACTTTACATAGACTCTCATTTTCATTTATTTATCAATTAACTTCATTTCTGTCAATTTTAAGTTTTGTTCATTATACCAGTCATTTTTTAACTTCACCAGTGCTAGTCATTTCCCTTGTTGTTGCCCCCGCACCCTTGGTCTACACCGCTGCTGTCTACACCGCTTCCATCCCCTGGACTATCCACTACCTTGGACGAGACGGACATCATCCACCTTCAAGACATCCGACAAGGTAACGGTAGCACCAGAATTAATTTTGTTGTTCAAACCGCCGTACGGCTTTCCGTTAAAGACCGTACAACAATTTAGCTAATTTGAACCAAACAGCAACAAAAAGCTGTGAGAACTTTATGTTTTTCTTTTGTTTAGGTGCAGTGGTAGAACATTATGGATATTGTAGATGTGCTATACTCTAGTATACAGTAAATTATAGTAAAACCAAATTTTCTTATAACGTACGTGTCCTCTCCCATTGCAAACGCAAAGCACGAGTATGACTGCAATAAGCATTTTATACTTATACGCCAACCCCGTACGAAGGGCACGGGTACTCTGCTAGTATCATTATACATTGACACTGTGTAGTACTCACCAAACACACGAGTTTCCCATCACCAGTTTCAGGTTCTAGGGTCTTTCCCAGGTACAGCAGCACAATATCATTGTTTACTGAGACCAGGCCCACTTTTATAAACGGGCAGACTGGGCATATGCCCAGGGGCGCCGGTGGTTGGGGGGCGCCCGAGGGGCGCCCTGAACCACCGCCCGCACTAGGAAAAAAAGGGTTTCATCAGCCGGGATTTAAAAAATTAAATGGGTGATTTCAACTTCTAGTTAAGTGATTTTTCCTTATTGCTAAAGTAAATAAATACAACAAAATTGAAAATACTCGACCTGAAGTTTATACCTCGTGTAGTCAGGAAAAGGCAGGCAGCAGTGTGAACCGGGCGCACTCACTATACTATCAGAGGCAGGGAGGCCTGCATGGTGGAAGGAAATACATAGGTGTGCTATTCCCATCATATGCTGACGTCACTCAGATTGCAAACACCATTTTACCATTTAGAAAAATTGTAAAACAATAACAATCAAATCAAAACAAATATATACTTTTATGGCAATAGGCCTACATCAGCTGATTTTGTTTGCAATTTGGGTGACGTCAGCAAATTACGGGAATAGCATGTAGGCCAGCTGTAGTCTACAGGCCTACGGTTGACGTGCCCTTCCTCTCCCTCACAGGTGTAAGAGTGGACCTATGGTCCAAACCAGACCAGGGTAAATAAAGAAATTGTCAAATTGTCCCACCCCCATCCCCACAAGTCACAACTAGAAAAAAAAACCAACTACCGTGTGGCGCCAGTCCAGTCCAGTACAGTAGTACAGCATACTCCTCCCTCAGTAGTCAGTAGGTTGTGTTCGTGTTGTGCCTGCTGCACAGTACTAAAATCAGTCACAACACAACCTAAACTGTGACAGTCACTAGTCAGTGTTGACACTCACACTGCAGTTAGTGAACCAGTAATAAATAAATAGAGTAGTGTTGATACAAGTAAGTAGGCCTATAAACAGTGAAAAATGCATAAAAAACCTAGTGCAGCCGAGAGCCGCATTCGGTTGGCTCAAAGAAAACAAACTCAAGAAGCAGTTATAAAGAAAGTGACATGTATTAACCAGTATTTCCATTGATACGGAATTGAAAACTCCCTCCCGAAACAAAACGGGTAAAAAAACACGTTAATGTATAAATATATATATGCATAGGCCTATAGTAGAACCATGGAAAAAACATACTCCTTAGTGGAATCTCGTTCAATACGTGTGTAATACAATGAACTGCACACTGTACTGTACTGAACAGTAATCAAATCACTGCGTAGTGCATTAAGCTATTGGCGCAGGGCAAGAGGCATTCGCATAGCAACTACTGTCAAGTTCATTGCACTCACCCACGAATTTTCTAGTATTCGTGCACTCACCCCAACCCCCAACCCACCTGCAGTGAATTTCGGCGAACTGGTGAGTCAACCCCCCTTCCCTCTTCCCCTCCATACAGGGGGCGCTGCTTTTGGGTTTGCCCAGGGCGCCACTGACCCTTAACGCGGCCCTGACTGAGACTGTGTAGTACTCACCAAACACCCGGGTACCCCATCCACTGACAACACAGTCATTTAGGTTGACTGCTTCTCCTGGGTCAGACAGGCACATTGTCCCAACATCAGGACCTGGTCCAAGGTGCCGGTTAAGGTACAGCAGCGCAATATCATTGTTTACTGAGACTGTGTAGTACTCACCAAACACCCGGGTTCCCCATCCACTGACAACACAGTCACTTAGGTTGACTGCTTCTCCTGGGTCAGACAGGCACATTGTCCCAACATCAGGACCTGGTCCAAGGTGCCGGTTAAGGTACAGCAGCGCAATATCATTGTTTACTGAGACTGTGTAGTACTCACCAAACACCCGAGTACCCCATCCACTGACAACACAGTCACTTAGGTTGACTGCTTCTCCTGGGTCAGACAGGCACATTGTCCCAACATCAGGACCTGGTCCAAGGTGCCGGTTAAGGTACAGCAGCGCAATATCATTGTTTACTGAGACTGTGTAGTACTCACCAAACACCCGGGTACCCCATCCACTGACAACACAGTCACTTAGGTTGACTGCTTCTCCTGGGTCAGACAGGCACATTGTCCCAACATCAGGACCTGGTCCAAGGTGCCGGTTAAGGTACAGCAGCGCAATATCATTGTTTACTGAGACTGTGTAGTACTCACCAAACACCCGGGTTCCCCATCCACTGACAACACAGTCACTTAGGTTGACTGCTTCTCCTGGGTCAGACAGGCACATTGTCCCAACATCAGGACCTGGTCCAAGGTGCCGGTTAAGGTACAGCAGCGCAATATCATTGTATAGTGCCCCTCCATAATACTGTTCATGGATCTTTATGTGGTGGACAATCTGTTCTTCCCCACCTCCTTCTGTGCTCCATTTACCAGTTCGAACCATCAGATCGCTTTTCCTGCACTCACAAAACAATTTTAAAATTGTTACTTATGTGCATAAATATTTTATTTACTCCAAGAAAATGGCGCAAATATACCTACTATCCATCCACAACATATTTAACCATTTTGGGGATGTATCTGTCATTTGTCTGGAAGTGTTAGGGTTATAAACGAAACAATAAACTTTTAAGTTATGTTGATCAGGCACCAAAAATCCTTGATTGTTGCTTTACAATGTTTTAAAACTTAACTTTAACATGACTTGTTAATGAGGCTATAGAATCATTGGCTTTTTACATCACAACAATAGTATCATCTTACCCTTTGACACAGTGTGCAGCTGTAAGTACCACACTAGGGCTGATCAAGGAACCTCCACACAGAAACACCATTCTTCTGTTTACTCCGTTCACAATTTTATCTCCAAAAACTGCAATCATCCCTGGTAAGTTATTATTCCCATTTTCTTGCCAATTTTCCAAATTTAATCCACTTGACAAGTAGCTTCCACAAGAAGGATATTTTTCTTTCCATGGTCGTGAATCACCCAATGACTGAGATTTAGAAGGTGCTATTTCTGGTGAATTATTATTCCAAGGTATATTGTTGTTCCAAGTGGTTGGTTTCCTATTTTTATCACCATTCCAAGAATGCTCGGTTACGGTGGGTCTTTTATTCCACGGATGAGAATCTCCTGGGATCTCGTTATTCCATGGAGGGTTGAAACTAGATGAAGATTCATTCCAGGAATGAAACATTGTTGTGTAGTTATTAAACCAAGATGGATAACCTCCAGGAATAGTTAGCCATGGTGGAGGGTTCTCTGAAAAATTACCATTCAACACATGTTGATTGTCTGGATATTCATCAGACAAGACTTGTGGTTGTAGGATACAGCAAACATCCAGAAAGTAGGGACAGACTCCGATATTATTCCTAAAAAGTAAAAAAAAACTTTTAAAATAGCAATAATATAGCTACTGAACGGAACAAATGACAATATTTTACCCGTATCCACAATTTAAAAAACACAAGGATTATTAAAAAGTTTAGGTCTCCCTTCACAACCAAACCAGCTAGTTCAAATCGGAGTGGCTGTTACCCTTCCCTGTAGGGCAATAGTCTGGTCATCTATATCTTCTATATATATAATACGCTAATCCGATTTTTGTGAACAGAACTCCTACCTTATTTTTGAACCAATTTTGATGATTAAAGTGTCAAAAAATCGCCCAGATCTGTAGTTTTGCAAAGTGTTTTTCATATTTTGAAATCTTTATTAGTTTGGGCAGGATCTTCCATCAAAGTTCGGTTTTTCCCATAAGATTAACATGGGGGAATCTAAATATTTAATTGGAAACTTTGTCTCCACTAATTTGAGAGAACAGCTGGGCGTAGAAACTTGGCAGATGTGTCCCAAGAAAGATCTCAAGTCTGTAGATGAGCCTTCAAAAGAAAAACGAAGTAAATTCCATTGGGGCTCTGCACCAGAGGCCTTTAAAATTCCCTTCCCAGATTTGTTTACATTATGGCCATATGGATAATTCGTCACTACTTTTTAAAACGTTTTTATTAGCTCGCTTTCTTGTCCGGTACAAATTTTGCAATCAATTTTATACTAACTTCCTGATGAGCTAGAGACTTGAAACTTGAAACTTAGCTCACAAATGGAAGACAATGCAATCTATATATATATATATAAAAGGCAAAGCCCTCACTGACTCACTGACTGACTGACTCACTCACTCATCACTAATTCTCTTACTTCCCATTTACCTAGGAGGCTGAAATTTGGTACCTACACTGATTCTTTAGGCATTAAATAGGAAAACTAAGCTGTTTTTATTCTGATCGGACTCTCGGGCTCCGCCTCCGCCCCAGTGGCTCTGGAGTTTCCCATGTTAACCTTATGAGTACTCATATTTAAATGGAATTAATGAATCTTAACAGCTGTTTCAATTAAACAAGTTGGTTCTGTTCTATAATGTTCAATAGCATTAAAGTTACAAGGATTACCAACAGGGTGCAGCACTATTATTTCTTTTACATTTATGACAACAGCTAATTTGCAACCAAAAGGCGAGTGAGCGTAGCGAATGAACTTCAACCTGGAGGCGAGTTAGCGTAGTGAACGAGCTAACCTGAAGGCAAGTGAGCACAGCGAACGAGCTCCAACCTAAAAGTGAGTGAGCGTAGCAAACGAACTTCAACCAGGACGTGATTGAGCCATGCGAACGAGCTCACTTATTAAGTTAAACGGGGCAAAGCCCGCGGGTACAGCTAGTATTATATCATTTAAGGGGGTTCCCTACCTCGGACTGTTTTCAATTTTCTGCGACCCTGGTGAGTTTAGTTGGAACTACAAGACGACAAAATATTCCCCAAGATTGCTGTCTGCTGGTCGTGTCACCGCCAGGACGCCTCCGCCCGCAGTGGAACAGTGGAAGTAGGCCCATCCTAGTAAACCCGCCCCAGCAGTGCACTCGATCACTTTCACTTTCTCCCCTAGTTCCCTCTCTCTCTTTTACAACCCTCGGCGACTGGCGACAACGGGCTACCTCTTGCTGCAGTTTCGTGTTGGCCTCAATTATTTTCACTTCTTCTTCAGTTTTTTTCAAGCTGTTCAAGAACTCCTTGGTTTTCATTTTATACTCATCTTCACCAAGGTCTGGCCTTTGGGCGTTTTCGCCATAATGTGGATCTGACTTATTGGTGTTTCCTACGAGTAGTCGGTGCCTACTTTTGGAGTCTTCACCCGCAACTGTGCACGTTTGATTATTTTTTTTCGCCTTATTTCATATGACTTGGAATATTTTCCAGGGCTGCATTCGTACATAGCTTTGTGCAACTTGTAATGCAGTGTACAGTACCGCTATTGTGGCTCACGACTGCAGCAGCGAATCTAGCTTGATACGACCTTTTCTTAGCAAAGTTTGTTCGTTTGCCGTCCAAACAACTAATGCCGAAATATCTATCTAGGCGGAAAAGAGAAACCGATTGCAAACAACCAATAAAAGAGCCCAAAGTTTTACAACCCTTCACTCATTTCTAGGGAATTCCTCTGCCGCGCCGCGCCTGCCGCCCTAGGATCACACCACAGCGCGTCACACAGGTTTTGCATTTGGCAAGGTTGAAAAACGCTACATCTTGGAACTTATTTGCTCCAGTTCTAAGATTCATTTATTAAAATGAAATATTAATTTGAAACCTTTTCGTTTAACAAATATGCTACAACGTATATGGCTGAACGTTTTAGCGAATTTCCCATATAGGGAATAAGCTATTACCGTAGTACTCATGGTAAGACCTGGACGTGGGACCGATTTTTTTTTCGTTTTGAGGTCCCTAGAGGCCAAAAACACCATCCGTTCAAATTCATATATATATATTTATATATATATATATATATATGTGTGTGTGTGTCCGTTAGCACGATAACTCGAGCAGAAATGATCCGATTTTGATGAAATTCGGTACAAACGTGTAAACCTACGTTTATTCGAACGAGTACGCGATCCAGCATGATCGGACCATGGGAACGGGGGTTTACGGGGGGTTTTATGGGGTAAAAATAGGTTTTTACCATTTTTGACCCAAAAAACATAAAATTTAGCAATTTATTTCCAAACCATTTTGTAGAGCTTAAAAAAAGAAATAATTTAGTATATTGAAGCGTTATTATGCGCCTAATGGTTACGGAGAAAATTCCAAAAAAATTGTAAATTTTAAATTCCCATGTTATTCTTTTGGAAATAGGTAAACTGTTGTAGTTTGCTTGTTTATGAACATATTTTGATCAAATTTGGAAAATGTTTGTATTTCTTACTAACTATTAACATTTTACAAAAAAAAAACAGTTTTACCCTCCCTAATGCAGCAAACCTAAGTACTTGTTAAACTAATTCTATTTAAATAGGGAATAAATGTTATATTTTTAAGTAGACATTTTAGTGTAAATCCAATCAGTTAAATTGAAATTCGCTTAGTCTGCAGGTTTGCTGTGGCGGGGGTATTTATATTATCAACAGGTTCTTGGCTATATTTATTTATACTGCTTAACTGGTTTATAATAATTAATATAATGTTATTATGTGTCATGGATAAATCTTGGGGGAAATATTATGAATGAAGAATGTGTAAAATTGGTATCACTCCGCGAGACAGTAGTTTCGATAAAGGCCGCTAGAGTCCGTCAGAATCGTAGCACTTTTCGCCGTGCAAGGTTTTACGCGGTTTCATTTTGCACATACAAAAAATAATCTTTTCTTGAAACTAAAAGTGACTTGATATTTTTAGTTAAATTTCGCACTAATATTGCTTTATTAAAAATCGATAATTTCAAAAAAAGATATTATTATTCAACTGTAAAGTTCACTAACTTTGACAAGCCGTAGCCCTTGATTGCGTAAGCACAGACATTTTTTAAAAAGCAAACTTAGTAGAACCACTCTTTATACAGGGTGTCCCGGAACTCTCTACCAATATTTTAGGGCATTGTTCCTGGGTAAGAAACATATCTAAATATCATATTTAAATTGTCCGGAAGTCCTTATTTACTCAGATAGCCGCCATTTTGTTTTTTTCACTTATTAATTTTTTTCTGAAGATTGGTTAAACATACGAAGTTGAAACTTTGCACAAACATTAATGACAACTAGACAAAGCTACAAAATAATTATGACGATTTTTCAAATTCATAAAACAAAATGGCGGCTGATTAAAATTTTGTTTCTTAGATATCTCGAAAACCGTTGATTTTACAAAAATTTTACAAGAATAACTTTTTTAAGGCAATTTTATTAAAAATCGATCGACACCTTAATCTTTAAGATCGGACGAGTATTAACTGAGATATGGCAGTTTTAGTGATACGTGACCGCTTTCAGCATGCGCTGCAACTAATATCCGGCGGTCACGTATCACTAAAAATGCCATATCTCAGTTATTACTCGTCCGATCTTAAAGATTAAGGTGTCGATCGATTTTTAATAAAATTGCCATAAAAAAAAATTATTCTTGTAAAATTTTTGTAAAATCAACGGTTTTCAAGTAATTTAAGAAACAAAATTTTAAACAGCCGCCATTTTGTTTTATGAATTTGAAAAATCGTCATAATTTTTTTGTAGCTTTGTCTAGTTGTCATAAATGTTGTTGCAAAGTTTCAACTTCGTATGTTTAACCAATTTTCAGAAAAAAATTAATAAGTGAAAAAAACAAAATGGCGGCTATCTGAGTAAATAAGGACTTCCGGACAATTTAAATATGATATTTAGATACGATTCTTACCCAGGAACAATGCCCTAAAATATTGGTAGAGAGTTCCGGGACACCCTGTATACAAAATGGTGTATGGTTCACAATTTAAATGTTTAAACTGGAATCGCTATATGATACCGCGCGAAGCGGTTTTCTGACGTTTTTCGGCGGGGGTAGGGAACCCTCTTAATTTTCATATTTCCCTTGGGCTACGCCCCATGGGCTTGTTTTTATTAACTCGCTTTCTTGCAAATTTTGATACTTCCCGATGAGCTAGAGACTTGAAACTTGAAACATAGGTCACAAATGGATGACAATGCAATATTATATCATTTAATTTTCACATTTTCCTTGGGCTACGCCCCATGGGTATGTTTTTGTTAGCTCGCTTTCCTACAAATTTTGATATCAATTTTAAACGAAGTTCCCGATGAGCTAGAGACTTGAAATTTGAAACGTAGCTCACAAATGGATGACAATGCAATAAAGCGACAATATTATATCATTTAATTTTCACATTTTCCTTGGGCTACGACCCATGGGTATGTTTTTGTTAGCTCGCTTTCCTACAAATTTTGATATCAATTTTAAACGAAGTTCCCGATGAGCTAGAGACTTGAAATTTGAAACATAGCTCACGAATGGATGACAATGCAATCTATAATATTAAAACGAAACAG